ATTAATTATGATGATTAATTATTATTAATCATACCAGTTTCTACCAAAAACATTTGGGGCACGACCTTTCTGACGTCCACATACTGCCCAAGACCGCCACGCCACCCTTATGAATTTGTTTTTATTTGTTTTTATTCGAGAAACTCGACTATACCGTTCTCTATTGTTTTTTTCTGAATTTTCTTTGGCTGTCTTGTGGAGGTATAAATTTAATTTTTATGTGAAGTTACAGCTTAATTCTAATGCCCAGGGTGCGAAAGGCAGTCTCTGCAAGTCATGGTCAAACATCATCATCATCATTATCTTGTCCAGAATTGACCAGCGAGCTTCTTCCTACTCCTTCTCCTTTTCCGTACCGCCTCCATGAATTCCAGGGCATTTCACTTTTTTCCTCATCTTGTGCTGATTTTTCTCCGCGTCTAAGCTTTTTTATCATGTCGCAAATTATGATCGATGTACGCTTCGCATGTCTCGCATCATATATAATTGGTAAAATGTGAAACTGCATGTGTCTGGTCATCCTTACTTTCATCATGTCGCAATCTTGCCAAGAAGTGATATTTAAAATATATAGATAATTTTCCTAACAAATTAATTAAATTCCTAAATGGGCCACGTCTACCATTCAGGTCCCCAAAATACTTCCTGATCTGCGGCTGAGATACATCCGAGTTCCTAATCCACGCTAATCACTTGGATTAGTTTAGCGTCAGGCGTGATAAGTTAATTGGCTATTACTCATTTCCTAATTTTGATCCTCGCAAAGCACCATTCTTCTGTAGTTTTCATCGCGCTCCCTGTAAGCTAATTGCTTTAATATGCCAGCAAGCTTAAAATGGTTGTAAGTATTAGTTGGGCCCGTACTGATAGTAACTTTCTAAACAGGAATACTACTACAGATCTATGGTTAGATCCTTTCTTTTTTTATCCTTTATAATTTCAAAACCTCTAGGCCTTTTTTTCCCAGTGTATTCATGCTTGTCCGCTTCTTCCCCTGCCTTTAAAGGCGCTAATTAGCCACGTTGGCTGATTGTGTTGGTAATGGCTTTTTGGCCGTTTTGTTTTCAGAAAAACAGAATTGCCGGTACTTAGCGCAAAGGTGTGAGCAATGGTAAAGAAAGTGGTAACCGACAGAGGAAGACTTGAGCCATGTCATGGTAGACACCTGGAAGCGGTCTACAAGCAGAGATTCGATTTTTAACGCAGATGAGCAATGATTGTGGGTAGTTTTAAGCATTATGTATTAGCATGAATACCATGACTTCTCATGCTATATAATATAATAGAATATAGTAATAATATAATATATATATATATATATTGTATTATATAATGACTTAAATCAGCAACAGACTATACCACAATTTACCTACAAGCTATGGAACCACTAATACACGGCACGAGCCTCCTAGAACAGAAAGGAAGTCCTCCTTTTGCAAATCTTTCGTTGGCTTATATATATTACACCATAGCTAGTAAATATTAGTATGCGAAGTTTTCTGCGTTTTCTAGTTCGCCCGAATGAAATATCTACGATAGAGGTAGATCAAGGTAATAATAATAAATTGGTTTTCAACCAAAAAGCGGGTAATTTACGAATATCAAAATGCCGAAAACTAAATCGCACTGTATTTTAGAGGCAACTAAAACTGAATCACAGTGAATGTATCCTGTAAGAGAAACAGTTTGTTTACGCGGAAAACTAAGGCGAGCTTAAAAAGCTCGACGAGCTATTTCTCGTTAAGAACTTCTTAGAGGTCATGATCCCTTTTTTTCTTTGCTTTATACTTTAAAAGATGGTTGGCCATAAAGGTTACGATTACGGCACAAACACATAAATCATTGCATGCATCTGCATTATTGATCTAAACTATCTAACTTGTACTGTTCCCGAGATCTCATCATGGATAGACAGACGGGCATTTCTCGATCGCATTAGCTAGTGATATGTGAAAACAATTCGTATTCTATATTCTTCATTAATACTCTTAGCTATGGCTTGCCTCTAAAGTGTTTTATATTCTTTCTTTTTGCTTCGAATTTTGTTTGAATCGTAACTACAAATTTGTTCCAAAAAATGTCTTGCTCAACTCACTTTTATTCCGTTAATTTATCACAACAATAAATTACTTCAATAATTAGCTCCAATAATAGGTTTTAACTTTTAATTTGGAAAATAGTTCATTTTTGTTTGCAACATTTACTTTAAAGTTTGATTAAATTAGCTTTTAATTAGAAATTATGTCGATCGTCCCTTCATATAATTTTTTTTTCTTTGCGTTAAGCTTAATTTTGATACCTATTGATTATAAATGATTGTTCTGATAGCAATTGCAGCTGCACTTAATGAGTAAAACATGGAATGATATATTTCGGCTTAGAGTAGAGGAAGATCAGATTACTATGTTAGCTAAGTCTAAGCACTCACTGTTAGACATTTGGTGTAAGCCAAATATCAGGAATATTATTTTTCTGCCCAGCTTGATTATGAAAACTATTTATGTTGCTTTATTGTTATAATTATATTCGCTTCTTTAATTAAACAAATTAAAAAGGGAAGTGAGTAATTTCGCGGAAGAGAAAATTTAAATGAAATTTCTCTGCTAGCTTACTGTTAGCGCTCACTTTTAGTAGTTTGACGAAGTTAGGCAACAACAGCGTTGCCAATGACCTAAGAGAGTGAGGGACTTTGAATAAGTTCTTGTTGCTCGTTGCTTATTCATTCACACACAGAAAGAAATTATTGAATGATATGTTTAGATGATCGTTTTTGTATATATCGGCAAGTTGAAACTTATATTATATTTAAAAAAATTTCCGACTGTTCCTGTGGCAGCTCTATGACAGCATGTCTATCTATCTATGTATGTATATTAGAAATAAGACTTTAAAAAAAGTTTTATGCAGCTTTCTGATAGCAGATAACTGGGACTAGTTTACGTAGAAACAAATAGACGGACAGTGAAATTTGGCAATATCGACTCGGTTGTTGATACTCATATACTGCTTTCATATTTTTGACTGAAATCAATATACCCTCTGCAAGGGCGCTATCTACTTGTAGATAATACTGTACATATAATATAATCACATTTCTTAGAATTGTAGAATTTCATTATAATTTTGGTTAAGACGTTCAGTTATTAAAATTTATTTTTTTATTTGTTTAATATTTTTGGACAATGATTGCTAAAAACTATACATAATGATTGCCGAAAAATATACATAAATAATTTCAAGATCATTTTCCGAGTGCACAAAGTTCTTTCCAACGCCACAACAAAAAGCATTATTATTTATTTCTTGATATATCGCTTTACACATTTAGATGTTCCTTATTACCCCTGACGTATCGACTCTGGCAACTGTTAATGTATAATGCAAATATGTGTTGTATATCGACTTTTTTCGTGCTGCCAACACCACAAAACCCCTTTTTTACGGAGCGAGTTCAAAAATAGTGTTGCTTGGTTTAGCTTCATTCCGTTTGGCACTTCCAACGAGGTGATCAAAATCTGAACATAATGACCCAGTTTTAATGAGTTCATGCTAGTGTAATCGATAAAAATATCGGTCTGGCTGGTTTCGCGAGAAACTGCTTTTTAGTATCTAAGGACATCTTAGTATTAAACCCAAAGTAAAATGTTAAAACATAACTTTAAAATAAAATACTTTAAATTTCAAGTGTTGCGTACAGTCCATTCTCGCAATATAAAATAGAAAATTAGAGTATTGGTTTTTATCTTGTAAAAACTATCTACTGAAGTATGTGAACAACATATATTTATACCCGTTACTCTTAGAGTAAAGAGTATACTATGTATTTAACAGGTAGAAGAAGCTGTTCCGACCACAGAAAAGTTTATATAATCTTAATCAGGATCAACACCACAGTCGATCTGGCCATATCAGTCTTTTTTATATTTTCTTACTAGTCTTGTACATTTTTTTCGATTTGGCAAAAATCTTTTTGCCACACCCACTCCACCGCTCACAAACCGACCAAAACTGCTACGCACACCCTTTTGAAAAATGTGATATTTTTTAATTTTTTTATTGGTTTGTCAAATTTTTATCGATTTGCAAAAAAAATTTGGCCACGCCTACAAACGACCCGAAACTGTCACGCCCACACTTTTCAAAACAATTTTAATATTTTTAATTTTTTTTTTCGTAGTTTCTACCGATATTAGAAAATATATTCCAGAAAATGAGAAAAAAAACTCTTTTGCACTTTTACTAGGTGAGTAACGGGTATCTGATAGTCGGGAACTCGACTATAGCATTCTTTCTTGTTTCCAATTAAATTTAAGTACATTTAACAATATGTTGAACTCTTAGAACAATTTTTGTTTAGGAGTGTTAGTCACTCTAAAAAGAAATAACTCTGTTAACAGGTGCCGTTGTAAAAGAAGAAGAAGGTCGCTTTGTGCCTGCGTTTCCTTCAAGTTCAATGCTACAAAAGCCTCACACATTCCCCTTCAAACTTACCAACTCACCGCCCGCTTACTTTACAAGTGAAAAGAGAGTTCAAACATTGGAGGGGCTTCTTTCAAATCGCTCTCTCACTTCTTAAGCACACAGAAAAGAATTTATTTTTCGATCTCTTCTTCCAAGTGGTTTTTATTAAACTGATTTGTCTTAGACAACCTGTTTAGGAGTGTTATATATATCTACATTTTTGTCATAGCTATGTATACAGCTAAGCACAAGTAAACTTTTTTACATTGATTGGCTTCCATCAAAACTGCAAACTCCAAATAATCTTCGGGTTTATATGGTAAAATTCAATAAATATTTTTTGTGTTTTAGTGTACGATCGCTGAAGCGTGTGAGTGCAGTGTTGTGTGTATGTGTGATTGTCGTGGAAATGGGGTTTGGGCTATGCTGTGCTGCTGCTTTCTCCATCCGTTCTTTTCCGCTCTTCGTGTGTCGGATTCGTATTCGGGTTTCTGTATGGGCTTGGGTGGTTCTTCTTCTTGGATGGATCGGACCACTGGAAAAGGCATAAAAGTGAGGCTCAAGCGTCAACAGCAGCCATTGCGCGTGATGCAATTGAAGTGCTAACACCTCGCACCGCTCGAGTTTTCAGCCAGAAGGTCATCGCCAATCACCAGCGGAGGCATCAGCAGCGCAGCAACATTCTGTACTTCTTTTTTTTTTTTGGTTAATCGCGTGTGTGAAAAATTCCACTCCTTGCAGCTGCGAGTTTATCAAGTGAACACGATCGCAAGTGAATAACTACAAAAATAATACAAAACACAAACTGTGAAAGTGCAAAAACACACTGATAAACATTCGTTAGAGGATTAAGGCTATAAGCCAGAAATATCGTGCAATATATACTGCGCATATATTCCCGAGGTAAGATCATGATCTGAAGCAAAAAACCTTAAAGGGATATATTTTCAACAAAAGTGATTACAAAAAATTTAAAAGTTATATGCAGAAAATATATAAATTAAAATTGAAATAACATCAAACAGAGTACAATATAGTTAAAAGTACATTTAATCCGGCCATGTCTGTCTGTTCGTCCGTATAAACATCGAGATAAACAAAATTGCTTTTATAATATTCCTTTTTGTTACATCTATTACATATATTTTTCCGGCCAATGAAAGACTTAGGCGATGAACTTTAAAAGAAAAAAGAATGTGCTAGCAACGATTTCCGTTTCCTTAAAAGAGATTTTAAAAAAATTAATACATATAAACCTTTTTTTATTACGATAGTTTTACATAATATTAATATAATTAATATTTGGAGTTCCCTGCAAGTTACATTCGGTTGCCCATCTAATATATTTTGCATAAGATTTCAGTGGAACCAACTATTTCAGATGACAAATAAAACTAATTAAAATTGTTCGATTTAAAAAAATTGTCAAAAAGACCGAAAACTACGCAAAATGACAGTGGTACTAAGTTGTATAAACGACTTAAAACTATGCAAATATGACCTTTTTAAGTGGCAAGTGCTGTGTAACTCCTTAAGTTCGCTTTTAAGATGTTGACTGTTTTTAATTTTTCTGCTAAAGCCGTTAACGCAGTTAACCGTTATTACCCAGAGGTATGGTCACCCCATTCATTAAGCAATCATTTAGTGGCCCATGTTCTTGTGCGTGTGGACAAAAAAAATAAAGCAACGGCCCCAAGAGCATGAGAAACGCATTAAAAGCGCAGTCCAGAAAAAAGAAAAAGAACGTTGTGTTTAGAAATTTGAAGAATCAAATAAATACACCGGACACAACATGAAAACCCAATCTTAATTTTTAGTGAGCTCTCAGATAGTGTACCTGGCATTTGCTTTAATAGGTTTCCTAGTAATAAAACAATCTCGGTTCGAAAAAAAACTTTATTGTTTTTAACGCTCCGGAAATAACGTGTTAATCTGGCATTAGAGTGACCTCGTCACTGGATTAATGCACTTTTGAACTAGAATTGCAAAGTATAGTGAAGTAAGGAAAAAAATGTGCGGAGGTAACACAGAACATATAAAACATAGGAGTCATTAAATGTGATTTGGGAAATGGAACATAGAACCTGCAGGCAGAAAAAACTTCGCCACTTTGGCAAAAAAAAAGGTGCAATCAAAGAACCGAAATGCAGACCCCAAGGGGTAGACATTAGCATCTAACATCATTTAATGTCTTGCCGCGATGCAAATCAGCGACAGCGCCATTAAACCAGTCTTGCAATCCATCAATGGAGGCAGGAAAAAATTTCTCCTCATTAAAGACGGATTTCCACTTTAAACCCTCAACTTACTCGGCACATTTCTCCTTTCCAATGCGTGTTCAAAGTTGACCCAAAAAGAAAAGAAAAACAAGAAAAACGTCGAAGTCAAGTACCTCGACTGTGAGATACCTGTTAGCCATCTAACTATCTTTGCCTACAGGTATACTCTAGGTGATATTCTGCATATCGACATATGTATGTATGTATTCGTCTACTAGCAAAAACGTTAGTAAACTCAATGGCAACATTGCATTTAAAATAAATTTCGATCCTCCCCAAATCTATGTATTTTTCAACGATACTAGCTTCGTTACTTATGAGTAACGGGTATACAAAAAAAATGCAAATCACAGATCTAACGCTAATCGCAAACTAACGTTTTTAACTCAGCTGAGGCAAAAGCAAAAATTGGTTGAGTGTTTGAAAATTCAAATGAAACGACTGAATTCGGGCTAATTAAGGTGAGCTGGGAAAGGGGTCCCTCCGGCGGTACATCTGATACGTTTCATCACTCTTTCTTAAATACCCTTTTTACGGTCGGCTTACACTCCGAATGATTCCATTTTAAGTAGTTTTGACAATTAATTACCTAGAGAACAAGTGTTCCTAGCCTTCCACCACTAGCATCTTAGATTTCATTAGCGCCCCACTTCGGTGGCCTTCTTTTGGCTTGCGCCGCTTGGCTTGGCACAGATTTGCTCTCCCCCATATTTTCTTCCTATGTGGGTCGCTTAGCTTCAATTGGCGGCACTTGTTCACCCATACGCATGACACTACACAAATGGAGTTAGAAATTTGCTAGCCGAATGGGCAGAGCGCACACTCTCACTAAACACTTGGAGTTCTGAGGGCCTGTTAAATATTGATAAAACGATACAAGCTGGAGTGAGTATTAGTGACAAAAGATGACGGAAGTGGATTTTGAAGAGATTGGCTTATGGGTACTTAGACTGGCCAAAACCAGTAAAAGAGTTTTCTGTCTTGCGATGTACACTGTTCAAGGGTATTGACGTTTATAAAATTGTTTTGTAAGGGTCTACTTTCACACAGTAAGCCAGATGCGAATAAAAAAAGATTGTGATAGGCATTGAATTTTTATGGGGATATACTAATATCACTGACAACAATAACTTTACTAAATTTAATTTAACATTTTTGAACCAACCTGGCCTTGATGTAGACGACAAGGAATTTTAAGGAACTGGGTCTGTGGTCAATTGCTTTTCATATTTTCTTCTTTCTATTTAGAAAATAAGAGAAAAACTGCTCCAAATTAAACTGAACCGGTCGTTTGGTCATGCTAATCATACCAAATATACGCGTGACCATCATGATGATGATGATGATGACGACGATGATCTGGCACTTGTGCCGTCGTTCCAGACGAAATTTTTTGTTTTTGATGGAAACAAAACGAAAACACTGTAATAACTGTGCTACAACAAAAGCAGCGAAGATCTCGCTAAAGAATCTGTGTTATTCCAACGGTCTTTTTTTTTGTTTAGGCCCCAACCCCATATTTGGCGTTATGATTAAAACGAAATGATTTTTAGTTAGAACACATACAGCTGTTTCTCTGCGGAACAGAAAACAAAAAAAAAAAAAAAAAAAAAAAATGTAGGTTCGGATCTCTAAGGCGGAGTAGATGTGGACCCAAATAAGGCCATCAAATTATTTAGTAGAATATATGAAAGTCCGACAACAGTAAACGGTAAAGGAATTCATATGAATGCTAAATAATTGGCAATTTAATACAGGCAATTAATGGGTCGCAACGGAAGTTTAATCGGCATATTAATTTGCTGATTGTTTCTCTTCGTTTATCTAGTCTATCAGATATCATCTTGCCAATTTCTATAGATAAGTCAAAAAACATTTTTTCCACGCCGACACATTTAAAAAGTGTTTTGATTTTTTTATTTCTTTTCCTCCTTTTTTTTTTCTTATATATTGATATGCCAAAAATATTTTGGCCACGCACACAAGATGGTTTAGAAAAACCATCCAAATCTGTACCGCATACACTCTTGGAAAATGTTGTTTAAGTTTTCTGATTTATTTGCCAATATTTCAACAAAAATGTTGAAATACATATCTCGCATGAATAAAGTCGAATAAAGATTTTCTCTTTTTTTTAATACATACATAATTCCTGCAAGTGAATGTAAGCTTTACCTTTTCTAGCTTTCTTTGTTGTTCTTTTTTAATCGGTGTAAATAACAAAAACATTAAAATTCAAATTTAAATAAATTGGTGAGAAGAAAAGTTTTATTTCCATATTAAACAGAAAATATAACCGCTGAACGTGTGAAAGTGTTCCCATTTTATTTTTCTGGGCCCAGTATCAATTTCAAGTTCCCACTTCGACGCATTCCAAATGTTTTTTGGTGTACCGAACGTACAGGGGAAAACGAGTTGGCCAAGGCATGAGTTTTTCTTAGGTGCGTGAGTGCCGCCCATAAGGTTCATACACCTTGTTCTCTGTTCTTTATTTTCCGGTTCTGGTGGGCTGGGCTCGGGTTCACTATACTTGGTACTTGTTTTAATGAGTTCACAACGAAAAGGAGTTAATTACGAACGTCATGCGTATGCAAATGGCTATTAAAAGAGGGTATAGCGATGGAAAGTGTGTTTCTGGAGTGTGCGAATGATCGTTCCCTTTGCAAGACGACGTTTATCTCCATCTGTATTCTACGCTCCCCCAGAATCTGAAATACGAAGAAAATCCAGCCATGCAGTGCACTTTGCATTTCCATAGCAATAGCCATTTTGTTTTATAGGAAAATTTTTAGTTACTTCTCCGCTTTCTCAAGCTATTTCAATTCGCGTTTGGGTCTCGAGTATTTTGTTTTCTGGGTCTTAAAATGGCGACTAGCAATACGGTAATAATTTATTCTCCACCTTAATTGCTGGCATGTTACACCGCTGACTTTTTGCCGTTCGCTGTTGCTTTAATTACTCAGCATATTGCATGCAAATCTTTTCGTCGCTGGAAAATTCTCAACCCGAAAGATTTTAACCCAAAGGTGGGTGTGGCAACATGCTATATAGTTCTATGTTCGGGGGCCTGTACATTAACCTTTTTTATGTATTAGTTGAAAAAGCAAAGGCCGTGTATCTTTTTATCTGTGTATCTACCTACTAGTAGTTACCGTTACGCAGATGCCAAAGAAAACATGTTTTTATAGAACCAGAATCACAGAATAGAAAATGATCACTGAGATGCGCTCAATGCTGTAACTTGAATTTTTAACTATTTGAACTATTAGTTATTGTAAATGGCCACTAGAAGAAATATTCATATTTATAACAAAAATGTATATACAAAAATACACATATGTACATATCTTGAAAGTGGCAATAATTAAATAAACAGAGAGAAGAAACTAACAGTAAAAGGCAACCAAGAAAAAATTCAGCTTAAATCGATTAAAAACTCGTTTTAACATCATTACACAGGAAAGTGCATTTTATGTAATTAATATAAACGAATAAGATGCGATGGAGACGACGAAATATGCTATAATTAAGTGGTATTATTCTAAGAATAACACATAATACAATAATACAATGAACTGTGTGATCAGTTAAATCGCAATCCCAAAACGATCTTGAAGCGTAGAA